CTGACTCTGTCATCCAGGCTAGAGTGCAGTGGTGTCATCACAGCTCACTGCAGTCTCAAACTCCTGAGTCCTCTCCTGCCTCAGTCTTCCAAGTAGCTAGGATTACAGGCATGAGCCCCCAAGCCCAGCCTCTTTTACCTTTCTTTTACTTCAAATTTTCTTTATGTTTGTTGTTAAACAGTGTATATCTTGATTTTTTAAAGAAGTCTCATGTTACTATCAGGGTGGCAGTCTTCCCTTGGTTCCTGGTGTGCTCTTGGCTGAAGCATGACCAGACACACCAAAGTGTCAAGTCCAGACTATTAATATTGACTCCTTGCTTGGAAAATCACCAGCAGGGCCAATGCGATGGAATAACCTCAGGCAGGAAGCAGTTTCACATGAGCAGCTCTTTATTGTAGACTAAAACAGGTCTCCCAATTCTCGGATTGTTTCCTTTCATTAGCCTAGTCTGGGAGTGGGCTCTCAGGAGCTATGGGATGTTATCAGATGATCAACAGGTGTCCTCAAAATTCTATATACAAGCTCTCTCTCCAAAACCCCACCTGGGCGGGGGAGGGGGCGGTGAACCACAATGCAGATTCAACCTAATGGCATGAGAATTACCCTTAGGTTAGTCTAGGTCAGTTTCTAAATCCTACCATGCCTGGGCTGGGGAGTTCCTGGATTGATAAAGTATGTCCTCCTTCCCCAGGTGTAGCAGTTGATCAGGATAGGATTAATGGGGTGGCAACAACAAATGGAGTACCCACCCTTATCCTTCTTCCCAGGTGGAGCAATTGCTTGAGACAGCATCAAAGCAGGTAGCCCTTGTCCTGAGAAGAGCCAGAGATCCTACCTACCTACCTAACATTACTAGCTGTATTTTAACTGGAAGATTTAGGGTTTTTTAAATATATATTTATTGTGATTACTGATATATTTGAATTTTTCCATTTTATTTTGTGCTTTGTATTTTTTCCACCTTTTATGTTCTCTTACTGCCATTATTTCCTTCCTTCTTTTCTGTCTTTCCTTCTTTTAAAAAAAATTTGGCAATTTTCCTTCTTCTGCCTTAGCTTAGAACTCTATTTTTATTATTTCAATGGTAACCCTCCAAGTTTTAACTTTCATATTTAATTAAAAGTCTAAAATTAGTCAACATTTTTATGGACAATGGAAGGACCTTGGCTTGAGTGAACTAATAACTTCAATTTTTCACCACTTCCTATACACAAACCTTTTGCCATAAACCCTCAAAGCTCCCTCCTACTACAACTCTGGACTCAGCCATGTCACTTGCTCTGGCCAATGACATGTAAGAAGAGTGTAGAAAATGTGCTTGTGCATTTAAATTTGCTTCCTTTTTCATCTCTGCCATTGCTACAAGAACTTGCCCAGGCTGCCCAGCTGGTGAATAAGAGGCACATGGAGCAGAGTCAAGGCCCCCAGCCAAGGCCATTCCAGATACCCCAGTCATATGAGCAAACCTAGCCAAGCTGAGCAGTGCTTCCTGACCCACTCCTGGCAGACTCCAGATGTGTGAGCAATAAACAAATATAGTTACATGCCTCTGAGGTTTTATATCTGTTATACAACAGATAACTGACACATACTTACATAATACCTTAATCTCAATAATCCTTTTACACTTTATATACTATTATTCCATTATTTTGGCTTTGCCTTTTTAAATTGCACAAATTACAAATTGCTATTGTTGGTTTTTGTCCTTGATTTTTGTTTATATTTACCCATGTTTGCCATTTTATTTGCTCACCAGTCCTTATTTTTCCTCAGATCTTCCTCCTGGGATAATTTTATTTCTTCCTGAAATATATCTTCTAGGAGATCCTTTAATTAAGTTCTGTTGGTAGTAACTCTTTGTTTTTGTTGATCTGAAAAGTATTGTATTTTCATTCTTGAAAGATGATATTGCTAAGTATACAATTCTAGGTAAACGGTTATTCTCTCATCACATTAATGTTATTGCTTCATTAATGGTATTATTTCATGCTATTATTATCAGCTCTCCCATTATTGCTATTGGTAAGTCAGGAGTTGGTATCATTGTCATTCTATCATAGATTATCTGATTTTCCTCTTCATCTACTTTTAATATCATATCTTATTCTTCAGTGTTGCAGAGTTTCACCAGAATGGATCTAGGTTTTCTTTTTATCTTATCCTCCTTGGGATTCATTGTGCTTTCAGAGGATTCTTATCTTTCACTAATTCTGGAAAATTCTCAGCCATCATTATTTAATAATTGTTTTGCCCACATTCACTTTACTGTCTCCTGTTAACATGACTGACAGGCATATGCTGGACCTTCTCATTCTTTTCCACTTCCTTGGCTCTCTGGGTTGCCTTTTAGATAATTTTCTTCATATCTACCTTCCAGTTCATGAATCAACCTCTCTTCAGCTGTACCTCAGTTGGAATTTAACCCTTCCAGTGAGCTACACATTTAAACTATTATAATAGGCATATCTGAAACCCCTAGGTGGATCCCTTTCACATTTGCCTGGTAATTTTCAAGCGTATCTTCGTTCTCACTTGTGCTTTTTGTTCTCTCTTTGTTTTTTAAAACATGCTTATTTTATGTTCCGGTTCTAAAATGTGTAATATCTAAAGTCATTGCGGATCTGCCTCTGCTGCTTGTCTTCTCTGAGTATGTCCTCCTGGGTTTTATGGTTTCTGATCGTAGTTAATATTTGTTTAGAACCCTATCTGTGGGAATTCTTTGAGACCTGAGTTGACAGTGAGTTCTTCCAGAGAGAATTTGCGTTTGCTTTGGCCAAGTACCACAGGCATTACCCACCCAGGTCCATTTTAAATTAAGCTGTTCAGCTTGTGGGCTTTTGGACCATGCAAATTGTGTGGACATGTGATGGCCAGACTTTGGCCATGAATCCTCTGGAGGAATGTTTTCTTCCTCCACTCAGACCAAGGCAAAGAGAGACAACTTACCTTGCTGCCCACCTCTGAATGGCCAATCCCCCAACCCCCATTATCCTTCCCCTGAGGATATTATTTCCACTTGGGTCCCAACCTGATGTTGCAATTTGGTTCTTATCCTGCTTGACCCCAGGTAAATGCCCCTATAGCTGGTAGCACTATCAGTGTTTATTTATCTCCAGAGATAATTTTCACAATATTTGACATATAGCACACGCACTAACCAATCAGAACAGATGCAGGCTGTACCTGTGCATAACTTCTGAACATCAACTCTAACTTCCTAGCTTTCTGTTCCTGCTTTCTTCCTAGCCTCAGATAATTTTCCTGACTTTCTTAGAAGCTTACCCATACATTTGAAAGGATATTTCAACATTTCTCCTGGTAGTTTTATATATTTTGTTGCAGTAATATTTGGATATATATATAGTCCTCATTATTGCTGGAAACAAAGTCCAAGTAAGAAGTTCATTTGGCTTGAGCAAAAAAATATCTAAGAGTAAGCAGTCCAAAGCTGGGACTGTAGCCTAATGTCATGGGACCAAGGCTCTCTCAATCTTCCTGATTTGCCAGACTTAGCATTTGTTTCTCACTTCATAGGCATGATAGTGGCTGAACTTCCAAGTTTCAGTTCCACTTAGAAGCAGCAAGATAATAAATGTGGCAAAGCACTTAAGGAGCACATTTAACTAGAAGTCCTAGGGGAATTTGTAAAAGTTACTTTTTCATTGGAAGGCTGGGGTGGGAGGATCACTTGAGCCCAGGAGTTCGAAGTTACATTACAGTGAGCTATGATCCTACTACTACACTCCAGCCTGGGCAACAAAGCAAGACCCTGTCTTAATTAATTAGCTAATTAATTAATTAACAAAAGAAAAACCTCTGAATTTTCAATGATTTCTACTTATTATTAGCAAGAAGTTGGACACATGACCATGCCTAGTCCAATTACTAGATAATAAGAAAGACATTATCAGAAATAGTTTGAGCCAATTGAATCATCCATTTCAACTGAGATGAAGGTCTACCTCCCCTGAGATCAAAGGATCTCCTCTATTACCTGAACAAAATGAGGTTTTTAAAAGGGAGCCAAAAGAGGGAGGGGAATTACTAGAAGACTCTATCTGTAGGAATTCTTGGAGGCTTTGGTTGAGGGCCTGTGCCACAGTTGGGTTAAAAAAAAGACTGGAGCATATACCCTTCCAGCAACATCTTTGACAAACTGTGCTACACTCATCCCCATTTCTGTACTTCCATATTTGTTTTCTTTGGTTTTGTTTCCCAGAACTTTCTTGTAGAATCCCCGCAGAGAGTCTCATCCTCCTCTCTGAATACTCCCGTGTTCTGAAGCCCAAGAAGAAAGACAACAGCCGGAAAACTGGGCAGTTTGAGCTAAGACCGAAATATTAATAATATAGACACGGCGGGTCTGGTCTGGTGAGAGCATCCAGCCTAAATTCAGAAGCCACTCTTAGCAAATAAATCCCTGCTGCTGCCTGGATCTCAGGTTACTGTGAATTAGCTCTTTCACAAAGGAGATCTGGTCTCTAGAGAGATCCACAGGTAAGAGGCTCAAGTCCCACCACTACAGACCTTTTTCTCTTCTACACTAACGTGGGGAAGAGGAGGGAGAGGTAGGGAGGGTTGTTGAGGGTGGGAGAATTGCAGGATAGAGGAAGCGTTCCTGTCCCACCATCTTTGCCACCCTTGCGACCCTGATGCCCAGCACAATGCCAGCTACACAGAAGTGGACAGGTCCTTTCAACGAACATTTCCTGATCATCCACTACATGCCAAACCGCAGGATGGATGCGGTTTGGAGACAAAAACGGATTTTGACACAGTCTCCGCTAGGCAAGCTGAGATAGGTCAAGGTTTAAAAAGGGTTTCGAATTTAGCATCGGCTCGCTCACTTCCAACAGAGCAGTCAGTCCCTTAAACCTGACTGACCCGTTACAGACTGTACTGCGCAGGCGCGAGCTCTCCCGAAGCCTAGCCCCGAATGTGAGTCCCGCATGCGCACACGGCTTTCTCTCTGACGCACCCCCGGAAGCACTGGCAGTTTCGGGGGCGGGACCGGGAAGCATTTCCGGGGGCGGGAGGCGCAGGCAGAGTCTGTCGCGGCGGCGACGGCTTGAACAGGCCTGGCGCCGGCGGCGGAGAAGATCCCTTGGGTTGGGGATGTGAGCGGTGAGCCCTTGGCAGGTAAAGTGGGGTCGGGACAACGGGCGGCAAGGATAGGGGAGGAGAAGCCAGTGGGGAGCGTTAAGGACTTCTCCGCAGGCCCCAGCGCGCGCGCCGCCGATCCCTCTGGGCCCATTCGGTCGACCGGGATGCTGAAGCCGCGCGCCGGTGGTTGGAGTCCCGGTGCCCCAGATCCGACTCCTTCCGTCTCCAGCCCAGCCAGCGCGCAGACCGCGACTCCAAGGTCCCTAGAGCAGCGTCTAGCCCAAGGTCACCCCGCGGCGGCGCAGCTCGGCCGGCCACTGCGCTTAGAGATCCCGCCCCCGTCCGTCCGTTGGCCTTTCGGGGCGCAAGGTGCTCGCGGCTTGGCGGCCTTGGGTTCGAGACACCCGTGCGCAAGGCCCGGCCGAGGCCAGTAGAAGGGCTGTGTCTGGACTAAGCTGGTATCTTCTCTGTTCACTTCTGTTGCCGTCTCTGTCACCTGTTGTGACCTGTCTTTTTGGCTCTCAACTCAGCCCCTGTCCACTTAGTATTTCTCCACTTATTGTCTCGAGATACCTCTGTGTATCTGGATCCTGTCATTATTTCTGTCTCCACCTTGCTTCTGTGTGTGATACTCAGCCCTGTCTCTCATTTAGGCCCTGTCATTCCGGCTTTTTGGCTATCTGTCTGTTGCTCTCTTTCTGCCAATATGGTCTTTCTCTCGTCCTTCTCTCTTGTTTCTGGCCTAACTGGGTTTGTCTGGGCGGGGCAGGCCTGTCCGGACCTCTGAGCCATGGAAGGTGACTCATGACCCTGTGAAGCTCCCTGCACTGGTGACATTCTCAGTGACTCGACCGCAGTCTGGCCTCAACCGTTGACAGGTGTCGCCCAACCTAAGTGTCAGGGTGGAGGAGCGCCTTGGCAGGCAGACAGGAGGCCCATCTCAGGGCCAAACAACTTGATGCATCTTAGCCTTTTCTTGCCTGTGGTTTTTCAGGCCTGCACAGCTCCCCACATCCCTTTGCTCTATCCACTTTCCCCAGTATGGCCTCCATGGCTCTCAGGAGCCTGTACTTTGAATCACATCTGTTTAACCAGGTCTATCTATGGGCTTAGGAAGGGTCAGGCTGTGAGATCTTCTCCCTTGGGGCTCTTGAAACAGTAGCAGGATTTCTGGGAGAATTGCACGCTTAGTTCAGAGATTGTCGGTATGTTCACTTAAATTATGAGAGACCTAATAATTAGGGATTTATTCTTTGCTTTACAAAAGTACCACTGGAGAAGTAAGCCAGACACAAAAGGACGAGTATTGTTTGAGACCACTTAAATGAAGTACCTAGAATAGAAAAATCCATGGAGGCAGAAAGAAGAATATGGTTTACCAGGGGTTGAGAGGAGGAGTTACTGTTTAACGGATACAGAGTTTTGGGGATGATGAAAAAGTTCTGGAAGTGCAGTTGTGGTGATGGTAGCACAACATTGTGAATATACTTAATGCCACTGAATTCTACACCTAAAAATCGTTATAATGGCAAGTTTTTAAGTTTTATGTTGCATATATTTTACACAGTACAAAAAAGCAAAACAAAAAAATCTCATTGGAGACTCCTGAAATCAAAAAGCTCTTTTTAAATGGGATTTTTAACAAACTCATTCTGGAGCTGTTAGGACCATTTAGTTGAATCTATGTTAGTTGATGCCAACTCTCTTCATAGCAGTGGGTAAAGCTGAGGTCCTTAGAAAAGAAGTTTAGTTAAATGAATTTAGCTAAAATCTTCCTCAAGATTTCTGCTTGCAGCAGATTCCCACCCTGGCGCTCTTCCTTCCTCCTTTCTTGGAATCAGTGCAAGAATCTGCTGCATAAGTAGGAAACTTGAGAATGATTTTACTCTTCACGTGGAGAAAAATTGGTAAGGTAGGAAAAGTAGCCCTTTTATTATCATGATGCAAAATTATGTATTTCTTGTGTTTTCTTATGGAGGATGCCTTTGTTTTTGTTTTACGTTCTCCTACTCAGGCTATTAGTTTGCCTTTAAGCTTGCTAAACTACCGTAAAGGCAAACTGATGTAGCCGATGAAGTACTACCATATTTCATTGAATCCTAGATGCCATCAATTATTTTATGTATGACCAAGGAAGAGAAAAACACTACCAATTAAGCAATGATATAATGCTTTCTTACCTTTTAGACTTTTTATTTTATTATTGAAAACACTTTTAGACTTAGACATTCTAAAAATGATGTCAATGTGTATTCTCATGCATATATAGAAAGGAAAAATAAGAATAAATTGGTTAAAGTGTTCATTAAACTTCTTAACATTCCAAGTCCTACTCTTCTGTATACTTTTCAATTCAGAGTTGTGTTGATGGTTTTTCCACAATTGTCATCCTTTGTGCCATCAAAAACATTGATTAAAAAACAACACTGATGAAGCTCTCAAAAGTGCTCTATCATTATCTCAGGCAGTGACAACTATTAAAAAACTTCCACCTGATGATCTTGTCCTAATTCCAGAAATATTAAAATATGAAGAAATGCGTGTCTTAAAATCAATTACTAGTCTCTGTATCATTTTCATGAACTTTTCTTTTTCACCTTATTTATATTTGCAATTAGAATAGAAGAGACTTTTGTCTTATTTGTAACATATTAAGGAAAAAAAAATTATTTGTTGGTATGTAGTTAATTTCATGAAAGGAATGCTGTTTCTCCTTTCTGCTTTCTTGATTTGAGCTTCTGATCCTGAAATTCTAATACATAGGAAGGTGCAGTTTAAAACATTTCCTTGGCTTTATTGAAGTGTAATGGCAGGATGACTGATACATGAAGGATTAGAACAATACCTTCTCTTTTAAATCTCAGATTTTACCACAGTGGAATGTTTGCCCTGGAAGTTTTTAAGTAAAACATTCAGCTGTGGCTTAAAATTGAAGGCAGTCTTGAACCAAACTTCGTAAAGTAGGTGGCATGTTTTTTAAAAGTCTTAAAATAAGTTTTACTAAGTTCTGTGGCCAAAGTGTTCCAATTAGAAAAAAATATAGGGATGCTGATTGACAATGGGCAGGAGACCAAAAGCACTTTTCCAAAGGATATTTTCATTCTGCAAAATTGCATGGTCATTGACCATGTTGGTTTCCTAGTTTTAACTAATGTGCCATAGTAATGTAAGATGTTAACATTGAAGGAAACTGGATGGGAAGTATATGGGAACTCCCTGTCTTTGCAACTTTTCTGTAAATCTAAAATTATTACTAAATAAGTTTTATTTCAAAGAAATACAAAGGCAGAAGCTAATAAGTTGCAGAATGAAAGTTAGTATAACCAAAATTGATTATTTTTCTGCTACTAACATATACACGTGTGGTGTTTTTTAGCGAGGCACACGTACACAGGGAATGGCACCAGGATCTCTTACGTTTTCACCATGATTTTTCCTTTCAGAAGTCAATATGATTTTAATTTGAAGCAAAACTGAAATGAGTCCCTCTTCCTCATTCATTATATTGCTTTTTGATGGCCATGGCATAAGGAACTTTATCCCAAGAATACAATATTGCATTAGGTAAGCTATAAACTTGCTCATAATACAATTTTTAAAATTATTTACTGTAATCATTTCTCTTTCAGCAAAAATAATAATGTAGTTTGTCAAGGTTTTTAATTGCTCTAGACCAGAAGATTTTTTACTTCTTCCCTTCTGAAGAGGAGATGTTGCACATTTTAAGGCCAGTCACTGCCATACTTTGCACTGATAGAGCATTTAATTTCAGAGAAATTTTTCTGCTAAGTGATTTTTTTAACTTAGAAAAATACTAGATTTGGAGTTACACTTCTGTTTGAATCCTGACACACCACTTCTGAGATCTTTTCATCTGAATACACTCATCTTTAAAATAAGTATGATGATACAGGGGTGTTGCAAGACTCGGGTTTACGTAAGTGTACTTTGTGTACTGTCAAGCATTGACTAATGTAAAGAATTTTGGGGGCTGCGGTGGCTCGCACCTGTAGTCCCACCTACTCGAGAGGCTGAGGCAGGAGGATCACTTTGGGCCAGGAGTTCAAAATCAGCCTGGACAACATAGCAAGACCCCATCTATTAAAAAAAAGAATTTTGGTAGGCATGGGGTGTTGGTTAGTTTTGTATGTTTGTGCCAGACTTTAAATTACTGAAGCAACATTTACTACATTTAAATGTGCATTCTACAGTAAGCATGCAGATTACCTTATGTTCTGATTAAAAGAGATCTCTGGAGGACTTCAAGACAAGTAGCTGGTGGGTCCATTTCCCTATTATATTGCTGTCATTTGTGTTTTTAGAATGTTTAATCTATTTTTAAATAGTGTGTAAAACTTGATATCAGTTTCTCAACTGAATAATAAATAGTGGCTACTATTAAGCTCATCAAGGGAATCTTGGAAGTCATCTAGTTCAGGGAGTCTTCAATATGTTGTACTTCATCTTCTGCTTAATATTTTATGTTTAACATCTTCTGTATTTAATAAATAGTAGTTGCTGTTGTTATTCCTTTTAACGATGACATTTTCCTAGTCACCCAGTCACGAAACTTCAAGGTCAGCATTGGTACCTCAGTTTACCTTGTGTTACTCTAATTTTTACTTTTTATTTATTTATTTATTTTGATACGAGGTCTCTCTCTGTTGCCTGGGCTCGAGTACAGTGGTGTTGTCATAGCTCACTGTAACCTCAAACCCCTGGGCTCAAGCGATCCTACCACTTCAGCCTTCTGAGTAGCTGGGACTGTAGATGTGCGCCACCACACCTGGCTAAATTTCTTTTTATAGAGATGGGGTCTCACTATGTTGCCCAGGCTGGTCTTGAACTCTTGGCCTTAAGTGATCCTCCCACCTCAGCCCCCCAAAGTGCTGGGATTACAGATGCGAACCACCATGTCCGGCCACTCTATTTTTTAAACACCTTTGTAGAGATATAATTCGTAAGCAATTGAGTTTTTTAATATATTCGCAGGTTTGTATACCCATTACTGCAATCTAAGTTTAGAACCTTTGTCC